TATCAGCTCAAAGTTAGATTTTCTGTTATGACGGGATCTGCCAGTACAGTAGTATAGTCATATAAGCCGCTCATAGTATGTCGATACAGTTATCTTAGTCTCTCTTTTTTATTAGCTTTTATCTCACTGACATTGAATTTTTTTCAGGGGAAGCGTGGAATTGAGAAGCAACCATTTCAACTTCCTGACTTTATAGCTGCAACAGGAATTGAGAAAATTAGACAAGTATGATTACTCTGTCCAACTTTAGCTTTCTTTCCAGATGGCTTTGTTAAATAGGAATGTGTTGAATAAATGATTCTCAAGTAGATGCTTTGATCTCGTTCTCAAATATGATCAACTACAAAAATACGAGCATTAAGAAATGGAGGTTTCTCATTCTGACGACAGAAAAATGAGAAGCAGGCTGGTCTTTTATCATAGTAGTTTAAAGTAATGATTATAATTAAAATGAAGCAAAAGTTTCAAGTAAAACTCCTTGATGCTTTCTCATTTTAAGTTATCTTGAGATGAGCCTAAGTGACCCTGTTCTTTTAATGGAAGCAAACACTTAGCCTTTTGTGTGTGTGTGTGTGTGGGTGGGTGGGGGGGGGGTAGAAGGTCTTAAGGTCTTACGCCTCCTATATCTTGAAAGAACACAAAGGATCCATCAGTGAGGCAATTTTAATTAATATTCTTCTTACATCAAAAAGGACTTTTAAAACACCTAGACTTCAGTTACAGAATGTGTTCTTTCCTGCGGTTGACCCTTTAGCAGTTCTAAACTTCTAATTGCAAAGCAGACTATCGTAAAACTATTTACCTGGAGTAAGATGCTGAGTTTAGGAATCAGTTGTGTGAAAACTTATTGAATTATGATACCTTTCTGTGAGCATATGTAGTTTTCTCTGGTTTCCTTGCGTTGTTTGAGTATATCTTATTTGCTCCTTTTTCTGCAGGCTTATATTGAAAAGGAGGACAGTAAGAAGCTTAAACAAAAGCAGCGGGAAAGGATGCAGCCAAAAATGGGGAAGATGGATATTGATTATCAGGTTTTTACATAGCCTCTGTTTCCTCAATAATATTGACCTTTTAAACACTTATGAACTACTAGTTAAATATTTATGTTTCTGAGGCTTACTGCTCTGGATTATTCTTCACAGGTTCTCCATGATGCCTTTTTTAAGTATCAGACTAAACCGAAGTTGACACATCATGGCGATCTGTATTATGAAGGAAAGGAGTTTGAGGTACACATAGCCATTGTTATTGTTCATCAAACTTATGCTCTTTCATGTCTAGCTTTTCATGCTAATTTTGACCATTCTCAGCATTGCTCATATATTTCAACAATCCTGGGAATAGCAATGGCAGTCTTTTTGTTGTTATCTCATATGACCGAACTGGGGTGATTGGGATAGAATTGCCCAACTTGGAGATGTGTTTCACCTTATGTGTTGATTTGATCTTTGATTGTGTTGGGCTGTATGAGGGCTAATTCTTTATTAATATACTCTTTTGTCTGTTAACCATCATTTGATTTTGATGTGCAGGTCAAGTTGAGGGAAATGAAACCTGGAATGTTGTCTCATGAACTCAAAGAGGCCCTTGGTATGCCTGAAGGTGCTCCTCCTCCTTGGCTCATCAATATGCAGGTTAGCTAATAAAACTACTTGCTACTTTCAACAAAAGAGAAACCCTTAAAACTAATTGTTTTTATTGGAAGAGATCATTTTGTTCCCCCGTGTTCTGTTTTATTACTAGAATGAGTTCCATTGCTAGCTAATGTGATCTTAAACCTCCAATTTTCTGTGCAGAGATACGGTCCTCCACCCTCTTATCCTCAGCTAAAAATCCCTGGACTCAATGCTCCTATTCCACCAGGAGCCAAGTTTGGCTATCAGCCGGGAGGTTGGGGTAAACCACCTGTTGATGAAGTAGGTTTTACAACCTTAAAGTATATTAGAGTTTTTTTTATTCTCTTTCAGTTTACTGCATTAAAGTTTCTTCTTATTTTGAGTTTTAACCTTTCCCCCTTCTCTTTGACATAGTTCGGACGCCCTTTATATGGAGATGTCTTTGGTGTGTTGCAACAAGACCAGCCTAATTATGAGGTATGTTGCGTTCTTTTTTTTGCTTGGCATGCTGCCATATTTCAGAATGGTAAAATAAAGAATTCTTAAACTACTTTATTTGGTAACCTTGCAAAGGTGTCCCACTTATGATGTTTTAATGCTGTTATTAAATTCATGTATGTGATCTTGTAGTTGGTGCCACAAAAGCTTGTGTCACTTTTCCTGTGTGGTGTCTAAGTAAATCGTGCCGATCTTCATGTGTAGGATGAACCTGTTGACAAGACTAAGCATTGGGGTGACTTGGAGGAAGAAGAAGAAGAAGAGGAAGAAGAAGAGGAAGAAGAGATGGAGGAAGAGGAGCTGGAGGATGGAATTCAGTCAGTGGACAGCCTTTCAAGGTATTGCACTTGATCCATACCTTTAATACCCATTGTCTATCAGAAATCTTGAAGTAGCTTGACATCGTCCTCGCTTTCAATTCCTTTCACCAGTTTATTCATTCTCTCTAGGATCCATTTGAGGCCTTTTTCTCAATGTATTTTCGTTTTTGGTGTAGTACTCCTACTGGAGTTGAGACTCCTGATGTTATTGACCTTCGCAAGCAGCAGAGGAAGGAGCCCGAGAAGCCCCTCTACCAGGTAATTGGACCAACTTTGACTTCCAGTTCTTGCGTTTCGCCTGATTTCTTTTTCCTCCTTGTAAGGAAACTCATTACATCTCTTCTTCTATTAAGGTGCTTGAAGAAAAAGAAGAAAAGATAGCTCCTGGAACGCTTCTTGGAACAACCCATACGTAAGTAATCTACCTACCTTTCTATACTGGCACATAGTGTTGAGCATTAACATTTACCCCTTGCCACCACTGTGCAACTGATTTGTGCTCTCATCCTACAGGTATGTGATCAACACTGGTACTCAAGACAAGACTGGTGCCAAAAGGGTAAGGGAATCTTTCTGTGCTGTGTGTGTCCTGTGTTCAAATGCAAGTTTACCTTCTTGTTGGGTTTTATTTATGAACAATTAATGCTGAAATCTTAACAGAATACAAGATCTCAGTTTTCTCAAAGCCCTATTGATGGGGATATTGGATAAATCATAATAGGGCAAAATTTTCAACTTTGTCTTGTTAGTACCTAATGGAAAATCACGTAATCAAAGAAAGGGCGAAGTACCACCACCAAAAGTCTTGTTTCTTTTTGACTAATCTTATTCAATACGTCAATTTCAGTTGTGCCATTGTCTGATACTATATATACAGATGTACGCATTTAGGCGAGGCACTAGATTAGAATTTGAGGTTAATTGCTTGAAATGTTCGCTGCAGGTTGATCTGCTCAAAGGTCAGAAGTCAGATAGAGTTGATGTCACATTGGCACCTGAAGAGTTGGAACTCATGGACAATGTCTTACCAGCCAAGTAAGTAGTGGTTCTTTTAATACTTTCTAATTAGAGGCTTTCTACATATTAGTTTAAGTTTTTCTAAAACATTCTTGTGCTTTTATAGATATGAGGAAGCTAGAGAGGAAGAGAAGCTTCGTAGCCAACGTGAGGATTTCAGTGACATGGTAGCAGAGGTGTGTGGTTATTTTGTCTCTGCCTCTTCATTCTATCTTTCCCATCCACCTTATATTTCTTGGTATTGTTGGTTTATGAGGAGTATCAGTACTAATGAGTTGAAATTATTGCAGAATGAGAAGAAGAGGAAACGTAAAATGCAAGAAAAGGAAGGCAAGTCCAAAAAGAAGGATTTCAAGTTTTGAGGTGGTTTTGGGTTTCTATAATGTACCATCTAGTTACTTTAGGGCTGCAGTATTTCCAGCTAAGGGGCATCCCGTCTTGAAGGAATAGCATTAGTCGGTCAATTTGCACTACATGAGATCTGTATGTTGTAGTGAAGTATTTTCCATGCGTTTAAGCATAGGAAGTGCTGTATGATAACTTGATCCTATCAATGTGAATCTTAGTTTATGACGCTCTCATTTCACTTCTGCATGCTGTGGTTGACGGTTTATACGCAATTGTAAGAGGTTATTCAGCTGTACCTGAACATTGAAAAACTCTCTTGTTCTTGTTCAAATATGTGCAACTTTATTGTAATTTTAGTTTTAGTTTCAATATAGATGTTACGTAAATGTACGACTATTATTTAAAGAGTCATTGAGCTTTGCGGTTTCCCGTGCCTGTCCCTTCATCTGCGCAGGCATTAATTCTCAAGTCTCCTTATTGTACAGTTGTGCCCATCTTGCTATCGGGCTGCACCATTGCAATTTATGTACTGTATAATACAAGGGTAAGAGAAATAAATGTTGAGAAAGTCACTATGTTTGTTCTTATAGTGGTGATTTTTAGACGAGACAAAGGGATTGCAATACTTGCCCATGGCGCGAAACATATGGTTTTGGCACTGCAGCTCTGTGTCTGCAAAATGGGTGGTGGGGAGCCAGAGATAACCCTTAGCCTTCTGAGGAACAGAAAGAAGTTTAATTCGATTTGTCAATATTATTGCATGTTAAACACTTCAAGGGTTGGCTTAGTGATACAATTAGTTATTGTTCTAAAAGTTATTCAAGTGAAGATTACCAATTCACCAAGAAAATAATAACCTATTGATGACAAATATGAAATGTTCATGAAACATATGTGTGGCACATTGTGCAACTACAGCTTTCTAAAATTCAATAAACACTGATTGTGAATATCACCAAGATTTTACAGTCAAATTTTTTCTTTCTTAGAATGCTGGTTTTTCAAGCATTTTAGATATTTATAAAATAATAGGAGTAACAAATTACAGTTTCTGCAATTTTTTATTTTAGAAATTAAGGAATTGAGTTATTCCAATATTTTATTCAAGAAAAACAATAAACTAGTTTTGGGTTCGAACAGCGCTTCCTCATTTATTGTACTTGGATTAATAACCGAATACGGTATAGTTGGGGAAAAAAATACTTAAGAGAGAAGGGTGTGGAAAAAGACACGTTTTTTTTTTTCAACACAAATATTTCATAGTATAAGATGAGAAATGAGCTATTTTTATTGTTCTGAAGAAAAAAAAAGTTACTTTTGATGAACTTTTCTTCATCAAATGGATATCGTGGGTCCCATAGAGGAAAAGTCCTCTTAATTATCTTATTCCTACTTCCAAGCGGTAAATCCTACAGGGAAGCTTCCTAAGCTTGAGTCTTTGCTCACACCCATTTGTATGCAAACCAGATGTTTGATATAGTTCCTGAACGAAGTGTATATGCTGAATATCGTAGTCCATGATTCTAGTAGCTTCAATGCACCCAATATCACTTATGAATTGTCATTCCTCTGCTAAATGTGGTTTTCTTGAAGCTAATTTTTGCTGCCCAGTTTTTCAATGCCAGTTTCCCGCTAATCCTTCAAGTAACAGAGTAAGAGATAAACATGTGGTATAAGTGCTTGTAGACTACTTATCAGAAAGAAAATTGGAGACTGTTAGCAGCCATTTTTATTGTAAATTACTCCTTATTAATTTCTTCCACTATTACTAATATATTATATAAGGTTCCATTTGTTGTTTTCTAAAGATTAAGATGTCTGGACTTTATTGAATATATGATTATTTTGGATATTGTCTCTAAATTAAACACTGGATAATTAAATTTGTTTATTTTCTCAGCATCTGAATGTGTATAATTTATTTTTATTTAAACGATTACATATAAAGTTTAAGTTAAGTAATAATTAAATATTATATCCATAAAATATTAGAGTGAATCTTCATTTACACGGTGTTTTAAAATGAGGCAAATTCTAAAAGCTGGTGGTAGTGGCAGCTATCGATGGTGATGGTCGGGGTGATGGTTGTGAGGTGGTGACTCATCATGGTCATAGTTGGTGGAGGTAACTGCCGGTGGTAGTTTTGTAGTGGTAATAAAAAGTGATGACTGTGCGGTAGTTGGTGGTGGTGGTGGTGGTCGTTGTGTGGTAGAGGCTAGTGATATTGGTTGATGGTGGTAGTTAGTGGTATTGTTTGTGCAGTGGAAGATGGTTGGTAGTGAAGGTGGTGGCTAGTGGTGGTGGTTATGCTTTGGGAGTGACTAGAGTAGTGATAAAAGAATAGCCTTCACAGGAATCTTAATCATTTTAAGATTCTGTACAAGATTGGAGTGAATCAAACATGTTAAGAGCAAATAAATGGTTCTAAGAGGAAAAAAGAAAAAGAAAAAGAAAAGGAAGATTGAAACTAGTGTTAGTTCTGTATGAATCTTAATTGAGATCTAAATGGTTAGATTTAGAGAACACATGAAGCTTAAGTCAAATACTTTCTTCCACAATGTGACAAAGATAGTCATAGTTGGTCTAGTTGGTTTTCTGATAGTTCTCATATCATCTTAATTACTTTATATGTTTCAGCCATTTAAGTTACTTTCCGCTTAGTTGAGTGACAGTTTAGTGATACTATTTTAATTTCTATACAGGTAGTTATATCGAGATCACAATTGTCGTTGCCAAATATCAAGAGAAATAATGGGGTTGTTTGTAGCAAGATGCTTGAAACTAGTGTTAGTTCTGAAGCTTCCATCAAAGCTCAAGTCCAAAAACTGGTCGATCTACTCCATGTATGCGCTGATGAAGAGTTATTAGATGAAAGCAAAGCTATTCATGGTTATATTCTGAAGTCTGATTTTCCGGATAATAACTTGTTGCTGTTGCTTAATCATGTATCACACGCATACTCGAAATGCTCAGAGTTTGGCTCTTGTCAGGTATTGTTTGATAAAATGTTGCAGAAGAATGTCTTCTCTTGGACTGTCATGATTGTGGGATCAATAGAAAATGGACTTTTCTATGACGGGTTCAAATACTTCCGAGAGATGCTAGAGTACGGAATGCTGCCAGATGGATTTGCTTACTCGGCTGCATTACGGTTGTGCGTTGCTTTAGGCAGCCTTGAATTGGGTAAAATTGTACATGCTCAGATTGTTGTGAGAGGCTTTACTTCAAATGTTATTATTAATACATCACTTCTTAACATGTATGCAAAGTTGGGGAATGTTGAGGCTTCATCTCAGGTTTTCAACAGTATGAGTGAAAGGAATGCAGTCTCTTGGAATGCAATAATATCAGGACTTACTGCTAATGGTCTTCATTTGGAAGCGTTTAATCGTTTTTATGAAATGAAAGATAAAGGATTTTCCCCAGATGTATACACTTTAGTTGGTGTAATGAAGGCAGTCGGGAGTTTAGGTGATATTGGCAAGGGTAAGGTAGTCCATAGCTGTGTCTCTGAGTTAGGTATGGATTCTAATGTTGTTGTAGGCACTGCACTGATTGATATGTATGCTGAATGCGGTGCTTTATGTGAGGCAAAGACTGTTTTTTATTCTAATTTCAGCAATTGTGGAGTAAATATGCCATGGAACGCAATGATTTCTGGTTATACACGGTGTAAATGTAGTCAAGAAACTTTGCAGCTGTATGTTAATATGTGTAAAAAGAATGTTAGGTCTGATATTTACACTTACTGTAGTATGTTCGATGCGATTGCTGAATCAAAATGTTCCAAGTTTTTAATGGAGGTTCATGCGGCGGTTCTTAAATCTGAATATGATAATATATCCCTTAGTGTGCAGAATGCAATTGCAGATGCTTATGCTAAATGTGGGTCTCTTGAGGGTGTAAGGAAGATCTTTGACAGAATGGAACAAAGAGACATAGTGTCTTGGACCACTCTTGTGACTGCATATTCTCAAGGTTCCCAATGGGAGGCAGCTATAGTCGTCTTTTCTCAGATGAGGGAAGAAGGCTTTACAGTCAATCAGTATACTTTGGCTAGCACCCTTGTCGCCTGCGCTAGCCTATGCTATCTTGAGTACGGTCGGCAACTTCATGGGCTCCTGTACAAAACTGGGTTACAGAATGAAAGTTGCATAGAAAGTGCACTGGTAGATATGTATGCCAAGTGTGGGAGCATAACTGAGGCGCAAAAGGTATTTGGTTGTATTTCCAATGCTGATGCTGTTTCTTGGACTGCCATGATATCTGGGTATGCCCAACATGGTTTTGTATTTTGTGCACTTGAATTATTCAAGCAAATGGAGCAGTTGGGCATTAAACCCACTGCAGTTACATTATTGAGCATTTTGTTTGCTTGTAGCCATGGTGGATTGGTTAAAGAAGGTCTTCACTTTTTTTGGTCAATGGGTAAAAGGTATAATTTGGTACCAGAGATACAGCATTATGCTTGTGTGGTTGACCTCCTTGGCCGTGTGGGTCTTTTAAGTGAAGCGTTTGAATTTATCAGAAAAATGCCTGTTGAACCGGATGAAATGGTTTGGCAATCACTGTTAAGTGCATGTAGGATTCATGGTGATTCTGAGCTGGGAGAAATAGCTGCCAAGAAAATCCTTTCTGTTTGCCCTCAATATTCAGCTACATATGTTCTTTTATCCAATACATATATGGAAACTGGGAATTTTAGAGAGGGAATTGACCTGAGAAATGTGATGAAAAAGCAAGGGGTGAGAAAGGAACCGGGCTTTAGTTGGATTATGATTAATGGTAAAGCACATAAATTTTATGCAAGCGATCAGGAACACCCAGAGAAAAAAGACATTTATCTTATGCTGGAAGAATTAAGGGTCCATATGAAGGCTTTGGGTTATACACCAGATTTGAGATTTGTTTTGACATCTGGAGATTGAAATAGCACCTTGTAGCAATCTGTTTGGTGCTAGTAGTACTTGAACTGCCGAATTCTAAAGCTACTCTTTTAGTGGAGACTTGTCGTTATGTTTTGAATCATAGCACAGAGGGTAGATATTCTGCACAAAATGAACTATTTACCTAGGAGTCGGAATAAATATGCAGAAACATGGCAGACAATGAACTTGTCTTGAATCATAGCACAGTTGTGGGCTTTCCATCTGTTGTATCCTAACACTAGTTACAAATTTTGTCTCACATATTAAAATTTTAGCTGCACGGCTTCCCCAAAGGAAAAGGTGCCAAAAGCAGGGAAAGAGGGACCTTCTACTATTTTTCTCCTTGTAAATACTGAATTCACTGGGACATGCCCATTGAGGAAAAGGTACCTTTGGGATGAAATGGACTTTAACAGAGATGAACATATGAATGGATGAAGAGAATTCATACAGCCGACACCCCAACCAATTTGTGATTGAAGCATAGTTGATTGACTGACTGATGGCAGGAGGTCCTAATATTCAAATCCAATCCGTACCTGCGTTCATTTTATTGACTGCAGTTCCAAGCTTGTTGTGGGTGAGTTCGGTATCCTCAATTCCTTCCAGACTATAATCAGTTATCTTTGTTATTGCTGCTTTCAAACTCTTAAAACTATTTTCATATTCTGTCTTATTTTTGTCTGAATGCAGAATTATTGCTGAGTTGGAGTATCTTCATGGATCATAAACATGCAACTTCTTGCTGCTAATTGTTTAGACCACGGCAGAAGTAGGAGGCTCATCTCTATGGTGAGATTTTTCTGCTGGTCTTTGATTTCTGAAGTAGAATCCTATTTTCTCTGACAATGATGCACACTATGACCTTCCTTAATTTAACCTAAGCTCGTTATTAAGATATGTAGTAATTGCATTTTAGGCTTCTGTTTCACTCAATCTCACGGAGTTGTCTTCACTATTGCTGCATCCATTGCATTTAGGAGCTTTATGGTTTATTCTCTAGTAACCTCTGATACCTTTCTCAGTCTTTTGGTTAAGATCAAGTGTGTTCTCTAGTAACCTTTGTCGGCACTATATCAGTATGAAATACTAGTAAAATTGTTAGAGAGCAACTTCTGAAGACTAGTTAACTACTGAAAATTTGGTTGGGTAACTCTTTTGAGGAAATGAGCATAGGTCATTCTCCTGTTAGAGTTCTTTTCTGTCATTGGGGATTTTGGGTGTGGGAAGGGGCTTAGATGGCTCTCTTCTTTGCGTATTCTATCGAGAGAAGTTAATCAAATCCTAGCGAACATGCAAATTATTTGCTTGCATATGTAGAATCTGTGAATTTTGCTACAATTACTAAGAAATAGAAACTGATTTGTTTCTAGACTGATCCGAGGTTGCTCTGAGAATGAGAGCGAAGATATGAATGGAGGGTGTGGAAGGAGGTTGAGAGAATGAGAAAAGATGGTTGAGAGGAGGGGATGATGGTGATTGGAATACTGAGGTTTGATTGGACCCTAGAGAGAAGTTAGAGCTAGGTTTATATCCAAAATATTTCTTTGTTGCCTAAATGAATAATCATTTGAAGTATTTTAGGCTAGGATCATTCAAGATTCTAGTTACTTTCTAGTGCATCACAATTCTTGTTAAATTCACTTATGATGCATATGCAAGCAGGTATTTTGTACGAGAAATTATGAAGCATACAAATTCTTAATGTACTAGGAGAAATGGACTAATTCTCTTCAGGATTCAGGTGTCTTGATACAGAGGATGATATCTTATACTGTGAGAACTCAGTTACACATGAAAGTTTTTTTTTTCCTTTGTCTTTTTGCAGATTTCCCATGATTGCAAGCATGTTTCATGGTTCTACACAACTTCCAGGGGTTCAATATTGACATATTAGCAGGATAACAGTGCTCAATTTCGTTACAATGTGTTACTGTTCTTGCAAAAATGATCACCTAAATGCCACATTTTTATTCCTTATTTGTCCCGAGACTATGATATGTTTTCGTTAAATGGTCTCTATTCGTTAGGATTTTCTTGACCTCAATTGTATATGAAAGCGAAGTATTAAACTAGGATCGGAACAGGAGTACTTGGAGTGTAAGTTCAGTGGCGAGGCTCAAGGTGGGGAAGTGGAGGTGAGGCTGGACTTGCAGGTCATCCCTAGGAGAGGAAGTTTTAAGTACCTTGGGTCTATTATTCAGGGGGATGGGGAGATTGATTAAGATGTCACACATCGTATTGGGGCGAGATGAATGAAATGGAGACTCGCTTCCGGTGTTTTATGTGACAAGAAGGTACCACCGAAACTTAAGGGTAAGTTCTATAGAGTGGTGGTCAGACCAACGATGTTGTATGGGGATGAGTGTTGGCCAGTCAAGATCGCTCATGTCCAGAAGATGAAGGTAGCAGAGATGAGGATGTTGAGATGGATGTGCAGGCACGCCAGGTTAGATAGGATCAGAAATGAGGTTATTCGCGACAAGGTGGGTGTGACCCCTATTGAGGACAAGATGCGGGAAGCGCGGCTAGGTGGTTTGGTCATGTAAGGAGGAGGAGCACAGACGCCCCGGTGAGGAGGTGTGATAGGTTGACATTGGAGGGCCTACGTAGAGGTAGAGGTAGGCCAAAGAAGAGGTAGGCCAAGACATGGTGCAGCTTCAGCTGACCGAGGACATGATCTTTGATAGGAAGGTATGGAAGTCGAGGATTAGGGTAGTATGGTAGGTAGTCTAGAGTGCTCATAACAGTAGTATTGGCACGCTGTCTCGCTTTCTGTTGGTAGTAGGTTTTATAATTAACCGTTATTTCCTTCATTGTTGATCACCTTACTATCTTTTTGTTTTTATTCTGCTTTTTATATGGCTTTTTGGTACTGTTCATTCTTGTCTATATTTTCATTAATGTGGTGCTTATGTTTTCCTGAGCCGAGGGTCTATTGGAAACAGCCTCTCAATCCTCACAAGGTAAGGGTAAGGTCTGCGTACACACTACCCTCCCTAGATCCCACGGTGTTGGATAATACTGAGTATGTTGTTGTTGTTGTTAAAGAAAGCAAACAAATTCTTTTTTCTAAGTTAAGACAGCATAGGGTCGTTTAGTTACTGGAATTAAGAATATAATCTCAGTATGCGATTCGTGTATTATTTTATGCTGCCTTTGATAGGTAGTTTGTTTCAGGTATAAGCAATACCTGTATAAATTTTACCGCTTTATACAGGAATCAACAATAATTTATACGGTATTTAGCTACGAGATAAAACACCTAAAAGACCAAATTTGCAATGTTTTTATCTTTCCATTTACTAGAAAACAAGGGCAATATCCCATCTTTAATACGATGAATCAATTATTCGCCAAAATAAATATATGCACTAATTAATCCTATTGTTATTATTATTATTATTGTTGTTGTTGTTGTTGTTGTTATTATTATTATTATTATTATTATTATTATTATTATTATTGTTATTATTAATTTTTGGATTAGGATTCTCTCATTATAATCTTTGCATAACTTTGTCCAAAAATCAAAAGGCTATTGCACAACTTTTCCCCTTCAGAATTGTGTAGTGGCAATAATCATGTAGTGGGTGGCTTAGCTGAACTAAATCATGATGAAATTTGCACCCGTGACCTGCCTTAATTAGTTCACGGCTAAGATCCCCATATTCATTTATGATTTAACCAAACTTGAACTTATCATACATTCTTTTTCCTCAAGTGGTCCATTGGTTTGGTACACCACATCATGGCCGATGATTAATGATTTCTCCCATTAATTAATTAATGTTAATACAACTAAGAAAACCAAAAGAGATCTAATGTAAGAATGGAACATTGGAATAAGAATGATGCTAAAACCAAAAGTTGCTTAATCCACAGCGCACAAAGATTTGAGATAGTGGATTATGTACACACGTGCTATAGTCAATTGATTAATCCACACTAATCAGCCTGTCAAATTAGAATCTTTCTTCCTCTTTTAAATTCCAGCTTAATATATGATTTTAATTCAATCTAAGCTTTATAACTAATAACTAAGCTAAGAAGAAGTCTTAGTTGTCCGACCAAAAAATATTCTGTTTTGTCTTTTTATAATATATTTGAGGGGAAAAGACATTCTCAAAGTGACCTTACCTAACAAACCGACCATGTTTGATTTCTTTGATAGTACTAATATCTTAGTAATAAAACTAGCTAAAAGTGACAATGTGTAGTCACTCTTAAAATAATAGCCAAAAAAATGTATAATTTTTATATATGATCTGCGGCTCCTGGTATTAGTTACTCCCTCCGTTTCATATTAGATGAGGTTGTTTGACTCGACACAGAATTTAAGAAGAAAGAAGAAGACTTTTGAAACTTGTGGTCTTAAAAGCTTAAGGAGTAAAAGGTTTGGGGGCCATGCCATTTGTGTGGCTATAAAAGCTTCTCATTAAGGGTAAATGGGTAAAATGAAGAGTTTAAAGTTTGAATTATTTCCAAATTTAGAAATGTGTCATTTGTTTTGGAACAGACTAAAAAGGAAAGTACCTCATCTAATACGAGACGGAGGGAGTATTACTTTAGCCTTTCATAGGCGCTGAGGGATATTCATGATAAAATCCTTTAACAATTCAATCCTTCGTCTATGACTTGGGCTCAATTCTTTCTTTTAACGTATACCAGAATCTTCTACGGCTGTATATGTTGTAGGCATAAAACTCCAAACTCTTAAGTGCGTTCATAACGTCACCAACTCGAGATCATTGATCGAATAATTCCTTTCATTCATTCTTAGCTTTCTTTAACGTAAGCTATTACTTTTCCTGGTCTTTTTGCCCCCTTGTTGCGAGCATACTTAGCTTATCTTAATTCCCAAGCATGCCAGAGTTTTCGTGCAACTCATATGATCTCGAATATTACTTTTAATTTTACCTCCCATTCATTAACCACGGTAAATGCCACTTTCCTTTGGAGTGCTTACAATGTTGTTGTGAGACTGTTGTTACACGACCATTTCCTCTTTAGGTCGTTGTGCTTAGGTTGAAGCCTTCTTCCTTATTTCCTCAGCTAGTTTTTTGTTGTAGTACTTAGGGAGAACCCTTGACTCTCGTAAAGTTGTGAGCTTATTACGGACCTTTTGATGGCCTTCCTTGCCTATAATCATCCGTAGTTGCCTACCTCCGTGCCCTTGTGCTTGTAGGGTTGCTTCTGAACTGATATTTTGACTGCCTTCCCAGTGGTACTTCTTTTATCCTCATAACACTCATACGGTACCTTTAACTACCCTGACTTATTTGAATATATCTCAAGTATTATAATGACATTACTCTGAGGCTGAATTCTCCATGTTGGAGTTTACTACATTTATCTTGCATGATCTGCTGATTTGTCTGTAACTTTTTGTCTAGCCATGACTAGGCTTTTCCTGCATCAACTATTAACTACTCGTCGACCCATTCTCATATCCATATTCCGCGTAGTCTCTTTTGGGTTATTTCCTTTGTTATATATATATATATATATATATATATATATATATACACACACATTATGTATGTTATATAGAAAAAAATTATATAAATTTTCGCTAGCGAATTTAAACAGTTTCTGGCGCGGGCTAAAAATGATAACACCCCTATTAACATCTGGAGAATTTTAATTATGTGCTTGACTGGACTTCTTTTCCTCTTAATCAGCACCTTTTGGTTACATGCATGTGGTTCACATATAAAAACATTTAATTTCATTTGAATATTTGTCAATCCTTCTCTTTTTTTTCCTTTTTTTTTTTTGAAGTTGTGGATGGGGATCGGACTCACAGGCTCACACTTTAAGATACAAAGGTGTACTAACAATTTACTGGTAACTACTCAATTTTTACTTTTTTTTAACCAAGTGAATTCAACAGTCAATATAAATCAATTTTTTTTTTTTTTTTGGTAAATAAAAGTTTTTATTACCAATGGCAATCTGTACAAGAAAAAAAAAACTACAGATTGGCATCTCCGGTCTGCAGCAACTACAAAGTTACCTCCGATCACAACTACAACGATTGTGTTGCCAGAGTCCTACTAGACAGGGTAAAAATTTAGGTTATCTAGACTCTTAGCTAGCCTACTGCTAATAGGCGAAATCTAGGTGATTTAGCTATTGTTTATGCTTCCGCTTAATTACATTTCAATGACATAATATGGTTATTTAATGAAAAATAGGCTCTAATTGTGATTTGTGTACATTGCAGGGTGAGGAGCTTATATGATGCTTTCAAGAGGTTATTGGAATGATTTATGAGCAAAAACGATCCCTCGGAGTTGAGTGCGTGCAAGAACAAGACGAAAAATTGGAAGAAATCAAGCCCCAGGCGCGCGAAGTCGCGCAGAGTTCGCGCGTGTTACAAGCTGAGACAGAAAGGGCGCGCGAAACCCGCGCGAAAGGCGCGCGATGCCGGTCCGGAAAAGAGCTAGTTAGGGGTAAAATTGGAAATCTGGAAAGAAACCTACTTAACCTATATAAAGTCAAGCTCGCCCAAGGTCAAATTATCAAGGTTTTCATAGGCTAAAGCAAGAAATAGAGAGGCAAGAGGCAAGGAGGGATTTGGATCATCAAGTTCTTTGTTTCTTCTCTTTGTTTTTGCTAATTGTGATGAAATTGAATCTATTTATGATGAACACCAGTATGAGTAGCTAAAACCCATTGTTCTAGGGTCATGGGTAAAAACATGAATGTTGTTGTTTGAGGTTTAATTTGACAAAGTTGGTTTATCATCTTGGGTTGTTTATTTAATTCCGCTGTTAATTGTTTTGCTGAGTAGCTAACAGTGAAATACTATCTACGAATCTAGTGTTGAACTCGAAAGTGGGAACTTTAGGTTGCATATAGAATAAATAGAGCAAGTTCTTGAACCCGGGCCTCGGGGAACGGATTTGCAATTGGGATAGACATATACCGAATTGCCTTGCTTGGTTAAAATACAGAAATTGTAAATGCGTTCTTGTTAATCTTAATTCCATAAACATATAGGCATTGAGT